CAGAGAGGGTCTAACTCTGACGTCGTAGCGCCCCCCCCCATTGCGTTCAAACCTTCCCTTTAAGTGGTGGAGAGAGGAGTTGAGTCACCCCCCTACCTGCGCAACCCCCTCCCCACCTGGTCTGGTCTCGCCCTCCAAACGTCCTTGGGTAGGGGGAGCCGCGGGAGGGAAAGAAGCTGGAGGAGGGTGGGAAGTGGACTGAGAAGAGGCACAGCGGGGGGCCTTGACAAGCACGGTAGTCAGCCGGACAGAAGGACAGACACACCTTTTTCTCCAGACAAGAGCCGGTCGTGAACAGACACGACTCAAAGGCACACATCCTGTCTTTCCCTTTTCTCTTCTGACTCAACTCGGACCCTTTCCAATGTGTACAAAAACCGCAAGATCCACCCATCTGCGGGGGACCTGAGCCAGCATCCCGAACCGCAGATCCGTGGACAGCGCCCGCAGGAGAGCAGATCCTCCCCTCTTCTCAGGTTCACGCTGTCCTTGGGCGTGTTCCCCAAGGACCGTGAGGTCGAGGGGTAGGGAGTCCAGACCCCTTCGTAGCTTTCAAATCCTTAKTCTCCCCCTCCCCAGTATTAATCTCCTACTGATGCCCAGTCAGACGCTGGGGGTGCCCCCTTCCTATTCAGCTCAGCAACGCAAGCTTGGCAGCTGCAAGTTGTTTTGTAACCCACCCTCCCGCCTTCTAGCGCCTCTGCATCCACCCTTCCATTCATTCTCCCATTCATTCATTCATCCTTTTCTCCTCGTCTCTCCTTCATTCATTCATAGCCCCTTGCCCCGCCCTTCTCAGCATTCATTCATTCATTCATTCATTCATTCATTCATTCATTTCCCGGAGCTTGGCTAGCGCACGCCCCTCCAACTGAGGCCCTCAGTGCGCAGGCGCAGGCCGGGAGAGTCACGCACTCTCCAATCGCTGGGCGTCCTCCCTCCACCAGGCGCCCGCCCGCTTCCCCATGAATGAACATTGACGTCAATGGGGCGGGGCGCACCCACGTGACCCCGCGCGCTCCCCTTTATAAGGCGGCGGAGGCGCGGGCGCTGTCCAGCGTGCTGAAGCCCTAGAGAGCGAGCAGTCCGGAGCTGTGCGGATCCTGCTGAGCCCAGCCCACTGGACGTCAGACCTCGACCGTCGCTCAAAGCCCAGCCACCACTCGAAGCCAAGGCGGACGGGTCCCGATCTTCCCTTGTCCCTACCCTGCCCCGACCCTCCTCTCCACCTCCCTCATCGTGACACCGGCTGGTAAATACTCCGCTGTCCGCCCCCCAAACCCTTAGCAACCGTGGGTGTGAGGGAGGATTCTCTCTCCTCCCGGATGGGGGTGTAGAAAACACAGCGGGGAGCCCCTGGTAAGGGTCCCTGGTAAATGGGGGAGTCGCAGCTTTTCTCTTGCTGCTGAAGTCGCCCACGCACCATCCGGGGAGTCCTGTGGGGAGGGAGCAGAGATTTTTCCCCCCTATCCTTGCTGCTTAGTACGTGGGCGCTGGCAGTGAGATGGCTCAGGGAAGGGGGCGAGGAGTACTGGGTGAGAGGGTTGCAGGCATCCTTTTCCCATTTTCACGACTTCAGAGATCAGCACATCTTCCTCCTTTGCTTCTAAACGTCCCTCTTCTGGGTAAGGTTAGGGGAATGAGGGAAGCCCCGGATTTCCTGCTTAAAGGTGGGGGAAGGGAACATAGAACTAGAGAGCAGGGAATTCTTACAGAAATCCCCTCTTTATTTGGTTCCTTCTATTTTTCAGTCTCCGGCAGCCCCTTGGTCATGAAATCCCTCAGGTTGCCGGCTTCCGCCCTCTTGTGCTTCCTTCTACTGATCAAGGGGTTAGAAGCAGCGCCCCCGGGGCGCCCCGAGGCGCAGCCTCCTCCCCTCAGCTCTGACCATAAAGAGCCAGTAGCTGGGGTCGCAACGCCCGGGCAAAAGGATGACAGCGCCCCAGACGTCCGAGCCGCTCGAAATTCTGAGCCGCAGGACGAGGGAGAGCTTTTCCAGGGCGTGGATCCCCGGGCGCTGGCCGCGGTGCTGCTGCAGGCACTCGACCGCCCGGCGTCGTCCCCGGCGTCGGGTGGCTCCCAGCAGGGGCCAGCTGAAGACACAGCAGAAGCTCTGCTCACCGAGACCGTGCGCAGCCAGACCCACAGCCTACCGGCTCCAGAGACCCAGGCACCCGCGGTCCCGCCTCGCCCTCAGACGCAGGAGAACGGTCTGGAAGCGGGAGACCCCTCTGAAGAGCTCGAGGCGCTAGCGTCACTGCTCCAAGAACTTCGAGATTTCAGTCCGAGCAGTGCCAAGCGCCAGCAAGAGACGGCGGCAGCAGAGACCGAAACCCGCACGCACACGCTGACCCGAGTCAATCTGGAGAGCCCTGGGCCAGAGCGCGTATGGCGCGCTTCCTGGGGAGAGTTCCAGGCGCGCGTCCCAGAGCGCGCGCCTCTGCCGCCCCCAGCTCCTTCGCAGTTCCAGGCGCGTATGCCTGAGAACGGGCCCCTTCCCGAAGCCCACCAGTTCGGGGAAGGAGTGTCCTCCCCCAAAACACACCTGGGAGAGGCTTTGGCACCCTTATCCAAGGCGTACCAAGGCCTGGGCGCCCCCTTCCCCAAGGCGCGCCGGCCGGAGAGCTCACTCTTGGGCGGCTCCGAGGCGGGGGAGCGCCTACTACAGCAAGGGCTGGCGCAGGTAGAGGCCGGGCGGCGGCAGGCAGAAGCCACAAGGCAGGCCGCGGCGCAGGAAGAGCGGCTGGCCGACCTCGCCTCGGACCTGCTGCTCCAGTATTTGCTGCAGGGCGGGGCCCGGCAGCGCGGCCTGGGGGGTCGGGGGCTGCAGGAGACGCAGGAGCAGCGAGAGAGCGAGAGGGAGGAGGCGGAGCAGGAGAGACGCGGTGGGGAGGAGAGGGTGGGGGAAGAGGATGAGGAGGCGGCGGAGGCGGAGGCCGAGGCGGAGGAGGCAGAGAGGGCGCGGCAGAACGCGCTACTGTTTGCCGAGGAGGAGGACGGGGAAGCCGGAGCAGAGGACAAGCGCTCCCAGGAGGAGACGCCAGGCCACCGGCGGAAGGAGGCTGAGGGGGCAGAGGAGGGCGGGGAGGAGGAAGACGACGACGAGGAGATGGACCCGCAGACGATCGATAGCCTCATTGAGCTGTCCACTAAACTCCACCTGCCAGCCGACGATGTGGTCAGCATCATCGAGGAGGTGGAGGAGAAGCGGAAGCGGAAGAAGAACGCCCCTCCAGAGCCAGTGCCGCCCCCCCGGGCCGCCCCCGCCCCCACCCACGTCCGCTCCCCGCAGCCCCCGCCTCCCGCCCCCGCCCCCGCTCGGGACGAGCTGCCGGACTGGAACGAAGTGCTCCCGCCCTGGGATCGGGAGGAGAACGAGGTGTTTCCCCCTGGGCCCTACCACCCTTTTCCCAACTACATTCGGCCGCGGACACTGCAGCCGCCTTCGGCCTCGCGCCGCCGCCACTATCACCACGCCCTGCCGCCTTCGCGCCACTATCCGGACCAGGAGGCCCAGGCGCAGCGCGCGCAGGAGGCGGCGGAGGCGGAGGAGCGCCGGCTGCAGGAGCAGGAGGAGCTGGAGAATTACATCGAGCACGTGCTGCTCCGGCGCCCGTGACCAGCCCCGGCCCCGCCCCCGCGCGTCCCCGCCGCGCGCGCCGCCACTCCCCCTCCGTGTCGCTCCTCCGCCCTCTCGGTGTTTGCATGCGCCCCGGCCCCGCCCCTCGGTCGCCTCCTGGCCCCGCCCCCGCCCGCGGGCCGCTGTGTCTCCGGGCTGTTCCGGGACCTGCCAGACCTCTTCTCGAGACCGAAGCCCGAACTCCCCAAACTCTCGGGTTACCCGGGGCCCGCCCAGGTGGGCGGGTGGTTTGTGCGAGTTCCCTCCCCTCGGCGGGGCCCTGTCCCTAACGAGTCTCTCTTGGGACGTCCCCGTCCGAAACCGGAAAAAGCAGTTCCAATTAATTGTGTGAAAATGTGTCTGTCTCTCGCCCTTTGGGCGTCCCTAGAGCCTGTCAGCTCTCTCCAAATCGCTCTGAATTTACCTCTCCTTTCCTCTCACTGTTGTAAATACCCCCCACGGAGGAAATAGTTTTGCTAAGAAATAAAAGTGACTATTTTATTAGGACTTTGTTCTCCATTATTCACCCGTCCCCTTGGGCCTGTGAGGTCCTTCCCAAGGGGCGGTGAGGGAAGCGCCGGCGAAACCGATCACTTTCTGCTATCCCCAGACCAAAGCGAGGGTCGAGTGGGAGAACAGGTGAAATCATATTTGGAGGGGAAATGTTTCCCGCTTCAAGCTTGGGGATAGGGCAGGTTAAAGTCATCAAGTATGAAGCCACAAGCTTCCAGTCCAAGACACTATAGCAGCCACTGTGGGTACCTGGGAAACTCTCCGTGGTCCTGGGTGGTACCCCACCTCTCCCTTAACTGCCCCATAAATTCCCTGGTCCTATGTACTTCACAGGAAATGTGGGGGAAAGGGGTTGACAGCGCAGAGACACCCTGCTGTTAGCTGTTTCTCAATCCTTCCTAAGCACAGACACCCTTGAACTCCTGATTCCTTGCCAAATGAAACTAAACCAGGAAAACGAAATCTTCCATAAGAAAATTGTAGCTGAGTGGACATTTGTCCCTAGGAGTCGCTTCTGCCTGGGTGAAGACAGTGGTCAGGCGCTGAGCACCCAAAACTGTTTGGGCAAGGCTGTCAGATGAAGCATGGAACTCCTATCTAAAGTTCAATTCCAGATAAACAATGAGTATATTTTTAGAACAAGTGTGTCCCCAATGACTGCGTGGGTTACATTTCTAAAATATGTGCTGACTGTCTGACATTAGAACTTAGTTGGGTATCCTGTATTTTTTCTTAAGTCTGGCAACACCCATTCTGAAAAAGGCTAACAGGTAGTGTACTCTTGACCTTCCAATGAATGCAGCAGCCCTGCCTTTCTTCACAGAGCACAGGCAAACCAAGTCCAGAAACACTTTTTCCTTTTATTTCAGAAGAAAGGAAATAAAGGTGGACACTTGCCCACCCCTCCCCCTTAGCTCTTGCCTCACCCAGAACAGAATGGAGGAGGCACAGGGCCAGTGTCCCAGAAAGCCTGCCCTTCCCCCAGCCCTTCCTTCCCTCAAAGTGGCAAGGTTAGAAAAAAATTAACTAAGTAGTTCCTGCCCTGGTGCTGGACAGGGGCCCCACTAAAGCCAAGGAGGAAGTGGGGGCAGGTGAGGGAAAAGGCCCCCTCCCAGGCAGAGAAGCTGCCCTGGCTGGCTAGGGGGAGGGTGGAGGTAGGTTTTGGGGCAGAGGGGAGAGAAGAGCCCTGAAAACCTTTTCCCTTTAACCTGACATATTTATATATTTACAGTGGTAAGTGGGGGAGGATTTCTGGGTGACATTGGTTCTTCAAAGGCAGGGAACAGCCAAATAGCACCCCATCTTGGTCACATTTTCCTGCCTTCTAGCTCCGAAAGCCTTCAGTGGGAAAGGGAGGGTGGAGGAAGGGAATGTTTGAAGGGCCGGAGCCCACGGCTCCCTCCAAAGAAGGTGAGGCGGCAGAGGAGGGGCAACTGGGTCCCACCAAGAGAAGGGCCCTGAGGGACACGGGAGAAGCAGCCACCATGCCCTGCCTCTCCACCAGCTCCCCTAGCTCCACGGGGCCCGGCCGGCAGGGGCTATGCCAGACCCATCTCCTCCAGCACACTGCGTGGCGACTCATCCTCCTGAGGCAGAGACAGGGTGACGCAGACACCAGGAGAGCAGGGTGGGTAAGACAACCGGCAACCACAAGGAAGGTGGCGGAGTTGGGGAGCACAGAGAGACATGGGGAGGGGGAGAGAAACCATCATGAGCCCAAGGCTGGGGTGGCTGCAAGCACTCAGGGGCGCTCACTAGCCTCCCAGCACCACCCCAGCACCCATAGTGGCATGGAAGGGACCAGGCTGGGCCCATCACCACCCAGAAAACCCACAGCCAGGAGCTGGGTGAGCAGGAAGCTTGGCTTCAGGGAACCTGGGACCAGAGCTGGAAACGTGCTTTCCTGGGGCTGGTGGGTATAGAGAGTAGGGTCCTATTTTGGGGGGTTGGGGGAGGTAGTAAGAGGTTGTCACCAAGTCCCTGAGGGAAGGTAAACTAGACTGCAGAGAGATGAGTCACTAGGGTCTCAGCAGAACACTAGTAATCAGGGTAGGGGTGCACCAGGGCCTGTGTGTATGGTGTGTGTATGTGAGAGACACAGACACACACACAGACACACACTGGACCAGTGACGTGGTGAGTTCAGTTTTACCCTTTTTCCTTGTGTAGGGATGAACCCCCCTCTGCCCCTTTTCTCCCCCTCCTCAGAGCCAGCTCAGGTCGGCTTGCTCGTCACTGCAGATTCCGGTGACTCATCTCCCTGCACCAAAGCTCAGCAGTGGCACAGCAGAGAGGGGGCAGGCAGCAATGGGGTGAGGGCGGGGGTGCTGGATAGCAGAGAACCAACATCCAGGCACCCTCCACCCCAGCCCCAATCCTCATGGCCGTCTGCTCCTGAGAAGCAAAGGCTTCTGAATGTGTGTGTTTCAAAAAAACAGGGAAGAGAAGACTGATCTCTGGGTGCCCCTCTCCAATTCTGAGAAACCCCTGACAGCGAGAGAAGCACTAGGTGGGGAAAGAGCTTGCAATGAGGGGACAACTGGCATAGATGTGTGATGGGCCCTTCTGCCTCCCATCCCATGGGGTCAGGGCTTGAGGGAAAGCTGGACAGATGGGCGTGGTGGCRGCCAGACACCACAGGGAAGGGGGCCCCCTTGGTGGCAGGCAGGGTGTCCAGGGGAGGAAGGGTCCCTTCTGCTGTGATGCTCTTCCTCCTCCTCACTGTCCCTGGCCCGTACCTCCTGCAGCAGGTCTGCCTGCTCAATAGCCTTCAGCACACTCTTCTTAGAGGTGTCCTGGACGTCCCCTCCCATCAAAAACTCATCCAGGATGAAGTAGGCCTTCTCAAAGTTGAAGATGATGTCCAGTTCGCACACCTAGGAGGGGGAGGAGAAGGCAGAGTGGCCCATCAAGGTGCGCCCAGTCCCTATTTCCCCATGACCACTCCCCTCGTGGTGGGTTCTTGCTCTGGGTCTCAGTTCTTCCACCCTGAGCCTCAGGACTTGGGTTTTGCTTCTTCTTCCCTCCTTCTTGACTCTTGCCCTCCAACCAGGAAATATGAACTGCCTTTGTCTATCCTTGTTCGTGGTTCCTGTTGCACTGCCTCTAATATCTGTGACACTGTTCCCACCAGAGGCTGTGTGAGCCTCCCTCTGTGGCACAGTGGACAGAGACACTGGCCCATGGGGTAGAAGACTTGAGTCCCAAGCAGCTGTACATATCATGGAGTGTCTCAGCCTCAGTTTTCTCATCTGAAAATGGGGATATCGACACCTCTTTATAGGATAGAATGAGGAGCAAACAAGAGAACCCCAAAGGGCTTTGTGGAGTGGGATACAGAATTGTCTGGCACAAGACTCAGGTTCCCCCCCAGATAAGTGACTTGGATCTCTGGGGGTGGGGCCCTGGGCATTACTATTTTAAAAACTCTCTACAGGATTCCAATACAAAGCCAAGGTCAGAACCACTGAGGAAATGTGAACTTGTTTCTGTCCTAGCACAAGAAGTCTGAGCTGAGGAGATTAAGTGCCAGATTCTGTCCCTTCCCCACCCCACCTCAACCCGGGGCTTATTAAGGGGCGCAGCTAATAGGCTTAAAGCTTAAAAAGGGAGATTAATTACTGTTCTCATTGCTCCAACTGCATCTCTCCCCTGAGACTGAAGAGTAGAGATGACTTAGATGGACCTTGGAGTTGAGCAGAAAGGGGRATTTCTGAGTATAGAACCGGGGTGAGAGGGGAGACTTACGCTGCCGAAGTATTTGTCCAGGAGCTCCACATACCGGTGGATCAGCTCCAGCGTGATGAGCTCATTGTCTTGGCCCTCAATGGCGCAGCAGAAATAGAGGCTGGCATATCTGTGGAGGGGACACGAGAGACAGCTTGGAACTGGCTTTGGAACCCAGGTATTCTGAGCTTAAATCTCCCATCAGTCCAAGATCTGCGCCCCAGCTGGACACAGGCAAGTGGCCCTTGGGTACACAAAGAGTAACTGCCTCTCAGAAATAAGTAATGATGCGTCCTCTTTCCTTCTTGACCTCTGATCTGCTCAGTTTTGACTCAGCAAAAGCCCAAGACAACTAACTGACCTGCTCAGAGAAGGAACTGGAAAGGGTGTGTGGGGGCGTGCGCACCTGTATGCTGGGAAAAGTGGAGCAAGGCCTCCGAATGGTGAGAGACAGTAAGGGACATGTACAGTGGACAAGATAGAGCCTATAGGGACAGAAGTATGTGTGTGGCAAGTGCCAGGTTTGAGCAACACTAAGCAGGGAACAAGAATTTCTTCAAGGGGAGTTTGGAAAGTACAGGAGGCTGGTGTTCACTGCTGTCCTGGGCTCTCGGTTCTCCCTGACCTAGGAGGCACCTATTTCTCTGCCATTTCAATTCTTTGCCAAACTTCAATCCAGCAGGATGCAGGCGGGTCTGAAAGCAGGTGGGGAGTCACCTCTTATAGACAACTTTGAGGTCCCTCCACTCCAGGAAGCTGCACATCTTGGGTTTTCGAGCCAGAACAACCTGCATAAGCTCCCGAACCATCTTCTTCCGTTCCTTATCTGACGTGGCCAGGTACCATTTTTGCAGCCGCAGCTTTCCCTGACGGCTGAACAGCAGCATGAATCGCATCTGGAGGACATGGACAGAGTGGAGGGTCCGAGATTTTGTTCTGAACCTCTTTCCTCCGTACACACAGGCCCAAATTCAGCCCCTTGATTCTCTAATTACGGCTGCCTGCTACTTTCTTAAAAAAAATCTACCCGCTGGCTGTCAACTCTAGGTGTTCCCACCAGTGGGTGACTTTCCTTCTGGCAGAAGCTATTGCTTTGGTGTGTCTGTCATTTGGGTTCAAGTTCTGATTCTAGTCTATGGCCTTCAGTAACTTGATTTATGTCTCTGGATCTCAGTTTCCCTGTTTGTAAGATGAAGATGATCAAACAACTTCCCTTTCAGAGCTGTTAGAAGGATTAAATGAGTTGATATATGTAACAGTGCCTAGCACATAGGAGGCATTGTAACATGTTAGGTATTATTTTTATTCCCTGATGCCCATTTCCTAACTCTGCTTTCTAAAGGAAGTAAAATGCCTAACACAGTGACAAGCGGTACATAGTTAATGCAAAGAGATACCTGTTCCCTTCCATCCTCCTGTATCCACCACCATGCTGAAGTGGGGTACTTGTCTCAAGCTACCTCAGTTTTCCACCCCATCCTATTCATAAGCCCTTGCTGATGTCCCTAAGTGTCTTCCATGGACAGTCATATGTTCAGGGGTATCCTTCTCCAGATGTATACATGTGTCCAACACTGGACTTGGTGTCAGGATGATCAAACTCCATCCTCCAATCATATGATCCCTAGCTCTTCTCTTGCTTTTAGGGTGCCTCCCACTAAGACCCACACTTCCCCAGACATCAGATGACCCATCTCCCTTTCAGTCCCTTGCTTAGGACAGGGTCATACAGGGTGGCTCCCTTAGGGAATGTCTGTGGAACAAAGAGCAAGCTGGGTGAAGTGGGATGGAGTGCAGAGTCCTCACTACCTCGTGCACCCCAGCTTTCCAATTCCAGGTGTCCCTTCCTGGACTCATTTGCTCCCAACAACTCCCTTCTCCGTGGACACGAGCAGAGCTGGAATCCCCGGGTGTGTACAACAGTACTAGTTTAGTAGGTTAAAAATCAGGATTTGGAGAACTGTTTTTTTTTTTTTTCCTTTGGGGGGGTGGGTGGGATGGGGAAGGGGGAGAACCGAGGGGCCCCACGGAGCTCCCGGGCAGCCAAAACAGGGGGTGGGGAGCCAGCAGGAAGACGGAAGGCCTGGGTTCCGGAAAGAGAACAGAATGGGGGGCGGAGAACCAGAGGCACTGGAGCCGGGGATCCCCAAACCTGGGTCCCCAGCACCAACCCTCCAGCCCACTCGCCTCCCTACCCCAGCCCAGCCTGTGCGCGCATGGCCGGGAACCGAGGAGGGACGTACACGCCGGGACCCGGAAACAACGCCCTCCCACAGCCCGCTTTCTCGCAGGTCCCATCCTGTCTGGGCCTCAGGGGGAGAGCGTTCTGGTGACCCGCGACCCCCGCTCGCTCCCTCCGCGAACAGACCCCTCGCCCCTCGCCTTCGGGTGCTTCCCTGCGGCCGGGGTCGGGGCTCCCTGGACCGAACTCCGAACCCTGAGAGCTTCTGCCGGCTTGGGACGGTCCCGCCGCCCCTAGACTGTCCCCTCTCTTCGCACAAACGCGCCCCCTCCCCGCCCCTCTCCCGAGTGCCATTTCCAGCTCTTCCTCCCTAGGCCGGGTCGCCCACCCGCTCAGAGAAGTGGGTCCTCGGAGGACCAGAGGGAGGAAAGAGCGGCTCCCAACGAGGGCGGCCCCCAAGGACCCCCGCAGGTGCAGCCCACGCCCCTCGGTTCCCCCCTCCCCTCCCTCTTCGCACAGCCTACCATCCTGCAGCCTCCGGCTCGGCGCGTCCCTCTTCGGCCACCGTAGGTGCCAGCTCCACTCCCTTTCTATCCTTTCTCTTCCTTCCCTCCCTCCCTCTCCGCCAAAGCCCCGCCCCGTCCCGCCCCAACGCGGAGACCCATCTCACGGCGCACTGCGCAGGCGCCAATGCTGCGGGGCGCGCGGGCGGGGCTGGAGGCGGAGAAGCGGAAGCCATGGCAACCAGGTCCTTGACTTCAGCTTTGAGAAGCTCAGTCGTCATGGTAACAAGGCTATCTTGTGGGTGGGTTGGAGGATGGGGGAAGAGGACAATGAGGTCCTCGAGCTTTGGAGCTTTGGGGGAAAAAGGCGGGAAAAGGGGTGAGAGGTGTCTTTGGGGTTTTTAAGGAAGCAGGGAGGGCTAATGGGAGGGAGGCAGGCAGTTAAGAGGGAATTAGATGAGGAGAGGAGAAATTATATGGAAAAGAGGAAGACAAAGGGGTAGTGGGGGGCATGAGGAAAGTATGGAGCTCAAGTATGTATTGAGAATCTACTAGAACAACAGTCTATTAAAGAGAAATATATAGAAAGCCAGAGGAGTGAGAAAAGAAAAGGGAAGGGCTGGTATAAAAGAGATGTAAGGAAAAGGGGGAGAGAAAAAGAATCTTAAAAGGATAGCGTGGGTCAGAACTAAACAAGTAGGTGTAAAGATGAAGACAATGTAAATTGTAATGTAAGCCTTCAGTGGTGTGTGTGTGTGTGTGTGTGTGTGTGTGTGTGTGTGTGTAGTAAAGTGAAGGAGTATGGATTTAAGAGAAAACTTATATTTTGTTAGGTTGAAAAATTAATAACTATAGTCCCCATTATTCTCAGGGGGTTGCATTTCAAGACCCCAGTGGATTACTGAAAGCTTAGACAATTCCAGACCCTATATAAAGTATGTTTTTTTCCTACACATACATACATACCTACCTATGATAAAGTTCAGTTTACAAATTAGGTACAGTAAACGATTAATAATAATAACAGAAAGGGGAACAGCTGGGTATGGTGGCATACTCCTGTAATCCCAGCAATCCTGGAGGCTGAGGCAGGAGTATCCCAGATTTGAGGTCAGCCTCAGCAACTTGGTGAGACCCTAAGTAACTTAGCAAGACTCTGTCTCAAAAAAATAAAAAGGACTGGGGATGTAGCTCAGTGGTAAAGCACCCCTTATACAAAAAGGGGGGCGATTATAACAATATACTGTAATAAAATTGCCACTATGCTTATGCTTTGGAGCAGTTATTCAATAAGATATAGGTTACTTGAACCCAACCTTTGCAGTACTGCCACAGTCTATCAGCTATTAAGCGGCTGATGGGTGGGTAGCTTGTTCAATGTGAATACACTGGACAAAGAGATAGATTTGGGATGGAGCTAGATTACATCAGAATGGTGTGCAATTTTAAGAATTTATAAATTGCTTATTTCTAGAAAATATCTATTAATAATTTTGGACTATAGTTGATTGCAGGAAATTGAAACCACAGAAACTATGGGTAAAGGGAACTACTATATCTATCTCTAGCTTCTTGTTAGCAACAAATGATGTTTTATTATTATTACTTTATTTTTATCTTTTGGTACTGGGGATTGAACCCAAGGGTGCTTAACCACTGAGTCACATCCCCAACCCTTTTTAATATTTTATTTAGAGACAGGGTCTCGCTGAGTTGCTTAGGGTCTTGCTAAGTTGCTGAGGCTGGCTTTGAACTCATGATCCGCCTGCCTCTACCTCTCAAGCTGCTGGGATTATAGGCATGTACCTCCGTGCCTGGCCAATGTTATTATTTTTTGAATAGCCTTTGAAGCACTTTTTGGTAAAATCTTATGTCTTCATTTTTCTTGTTCTTTGTTAACCACAATTGTTACTAATAAAGTGGGTATAAGAGCATGCTATAATAAAATTGCTACTTTTGCACTTTAGAGCAGTTATTAAAAAAATACAGGTTACTTGAACACAAGGCAGTACTGTCACAGTCTACCTGATAATTGAGGCGATTACTACATTGTTGGTGAATGATGAATATAGAGAATCTGTGCACTAGAAGTAACTAGAGGTCAGATGTTCTGGTGACAAGAGGGAAGGCCTAGTTCACCTGGTGTGGAAGCTTGTCTCTAACCCCTACTAAAACGTATGGCCTCAAGGGAGTCATTGAACCCTTTATCTTCTTGTTTTGAAAACTAAGAAAGTGGTGGGAAATCTTGGAAGGTGATTTTGAGGATAAAGATAAGATATAGAAAATATTTGCCACATTGTAAATACTTGATAATAGTAGCTATTATTTCCCCCTCTCAACTTGTTTCATTTTTTATTCCTTTCTTTTTCATTTCCCTTCCTCCTCTGTCTATCCTTTATTGCTTGCTAATGGCCTAATCTAAGGCAGGTGGTATATACCAAGGAGATCTTGGTGATGGCCCAGAGAGTTGACTGAATGATCCTGGCATTACTTATTAGGTAAAGCATAAGATCAATAAAGCAAGTTGTTAGAATCAGAAAGGGTGAATCATAATGGAGTTGAAATAAGGAAAAGGACAGAAAGCAAAACAAATGAACAGAAGTGTGTCCCTGAGAGAGAGAAGGTGGCTACATATAGGGAGCGAGGTGAAGAGGCAGCACCTGCCCACATTGGGAAACTCTAGAGACATCAACTCCATATTCCTTGGATAGCTGACACTTTCTAGAGTTCCTCGTCTCAGTGTGACATGTCTAATTGCAGAAAAGATAAGATTAATGAGGGAACTGTTAGAAGATTTTGCTCATGTGGAATAACAGAATTCAAGTGGCTGAGACGAGTTAGAAAATGGTGGACTGGGTTTCTTCATTGTTAGTGAMCCTATGAGTTAATAGAGCTGGTGCKCGGAGATGAGTTGACTTGCTGCAGTGGGCAGATGGGTGCAGAGTCATTATGGTGTCTGAGCTGGTGAATCACTTGGTGAAAGCAGTGTTAAGGACATTAATCACATAGTAATGTGTGGGACAATTTGAAAGGACAAAATGGAAGGCTGGAAGATCATTGAAGAGGCCGTTTTGGGAACCCAGGTGCAAGGATGAAACGGGGAGGGGCAAATCAAGAGAGATGCCTGTGATGGGCCCACCAGCATCCAAGTGGGGAAGTAGGGAGAGGACTCCGGGATGAGCCTGGAGGCTTGGTGACTCCCTCAGAATACCTGGAAGAGGTGAGATTCTCCTGCATAGCTCGGGAGGGTGTTTGTACTGTCATCCCCCAATCCACACTGACAGCTCCCCTTGCCGTCCCTCATGTGGCTGTAGAATGGTTCCTGCAGCGTTTGGAAGGATGGCTCAGCTGGTTTCAGAAGCCCGGTATCCTTTGAGCCTAGGATCTGCATTTCCCCCTCTTTTGATGCCCTTGGAACCCACTTTGGGTTCATTCTTTAAGTCATTACCTGAGTCAATATGTGCTACTCTAATAAAATGCCTCCAACTGAGTGGTTTATAAAGAACAGCAATTTATTTCTCAAAATTCTGGGGGGTGGAAAGTCCAAGATCAGCTGGTTTGATGTATAAGAGATGCTCTCTGTTTTCCAAGATGGTGGCTTCTTCCTGTGTCCTCACATGTTGAACGAAACCAAAGGGGCTATGTGGAGGGCAGGCTGTGCTCTGCTCTGAGTCACTTCATGATGTGTGGAAAAGCAGTTTCAGGCTGTGCCTAAACCTGAATTGCTCCATGTTGTAAAGCAATCGTTTTACAAAAGGTAGTTTGCCATAAGCTTCTTCATTTTCAGTGCCCAAGCAGAATGACTGTGCACCTTGTTTGTACAAGTAATGACACCATCTGCCTGGCACAACCATAAGGCACAAACTGACGAATGAATTAACCATGCTAATAAGAGTAACCACCTGTGGACTGATGGAATTAATCGGAAGCACATGGATGTGCAGGTATATCAAATTCATCTCAGAAAAACCAGACCACTGAATGATGCAGCCCACGCACCTGAGGCCCGTAAAAGGAGGGGCACCCTCAGACTGGACATGGTGGCACCCTGATCCCATCACCTGGTCACTGGTTGTGAGCTTTGCCCAGGAAAATTGGCACAGTGATGAACTTCTGATTTCCTGTCCCGTTGGGCTTCAGCAGAACATGGTTCCTTCTGCCTGTGACGACCCTGTATGGCCCACTCCAAGCTGACATCTCAAGCTGACATTCTGGAACTGCCATCCATCTGGACCTTGGCCTAGAATAAGTTCTTGCGTGTTGAACAAGCTCTTGGTTGGTTCCTAATCTTATTTGATCACCTACAGGGACCTTGCGTTAGAATCTGCCCTCTGCCTTCCCTCTCAGTTATGAATCCCTGTGGCTGTCTTAACCCTTTTTTAGTCTTTCTGTGACACACACACACACACACACACACACACACACAGTGTGATGTGTGACTTGAGTGTAAAACTATTAGAAATTAAGATTGGAACTTGCATTTGCCCAACTTTTGATACCATATAACCCATGAATATTCAGTAAACTGCCACTTATGAAAATGGGAGAGCACGTGAATTTACTGTCATTGTTGAATTCTGACATTGTGGAAAGACACAGACATGCTTGGTCTATGCTAGTGATAGCATGCTCCCAACAGGCTAAATAAATAAATATAATTAAGAGGATGGAATCCCTCAAGCTCTTTTATAAGGACACCTAATCCTCTGCATGAGGATTGCTCAGTCACCTCCCAGAGGCCACCTGCTTAATACTGTTGCATTGGGGAATAAGTCTCAACTTGAACTTTAAAGCAGACTCCATTATTCAAACCATCTTGGGCGCGATGGTGCCTGTGATTAGCAATTCCTGAKGTTGAGGCAGGAGCATGGCAAGTTCGAGGCCATCCTGGGCAATTTAGTGAGAGCATGTTTCAAAATAGAAATAAGCCCATAAAGAAAAAGGTTTGGGGATGTAGCTTAGTGGTAGACCACCCCTGGATTCAATCTCCCAATACTGCAAAACAAAAATAAATAAATAAAAAATTAAGAGGATGGAATCCCTCAAGTTCTCTCTCTTTTTTTAATATTTACTTTTTTTTTTTTTTAGTTTTAGGTGGACACAATATATT